TTAAATACATATATATTTTTTGTAATTAAACATGAGACCGATGCATCACGTTCCTTTGCACATTGGATACATAAAATAGTTGTAATTGGGAATACAATTATAAGTTCTCTCAAATCAAGTTTTCTTAGTAAAAATTAAATGCATTTTTTTACACTAATTTACTCACCTTCTCGACATTCATAAGATGAAGAGAAGATAAAGGTAACACCACCAAGTGTTCAGGATAGGAAGGACACAAATTAAAATTGAACTTAATTTGGCGGTGCTGGAGTGCGCTGGCCCCTTCAAGACGTGCCTCCAGCTGTGTTTGATGAAGACAAATTAACCCTACTACCTGCAAATCAAGCCCATTCCATCTCCATCTCCATCTCCATCTCCAACAAAAACAATTTGTTGCATTCACCAAAAGTGGTTAAACTATATATGCCCGTGACTGCTCCAAGAATAAAGAGAATAAAATCTATCCAGTCTTATGTACAAGAAAATCTAACTACGTCTTTGCGTGCAAGAAATAATTTGGATAGATTTTAAAATGATACATAAAAATTTAATTACTTTCTCGATTTACGACAGATTACAAGATAAGTCATATTAGTCGAATTATGTCGAACAAATGCATAAAAAATAATTGTGTTTTTGTTATAATGTAGATTAATTAAGTGGAAATCATAGAGATGAATATAATAATTAATCAGTCAAGATGTTCTTCCCGTCTTTCTTTTTTTTTTATTAGAAACCAACGTAAATCAAGTAAATATCTAATTGTTAATGGAATACTATAAAGAAGTTGCATATGGATTTTAAACTGGAAACACTGTACTTCAACGCAAAATTAATAAACAATAATCATGGAGTCTCCAGCTTTCTTCCACGATACTAATCCTAATTAATTATTAAACTAAGAAGATTAAATACAATTACAAGAAAAGAAAAGAAAAAGTAAATTGTAAATACAGATACATCTGATCTGATGAAGAAGAAAGTGGCATTGGGGTAATTAAAGCAAAATAAATGTCGCATTCGATATTTCCACTTGCTTATAAACCCGACATGAGTCTCTATCTTCTTCTACCTTCTATCCCCCCTTTCTGGCAGTCGCAGCTACAGAGCGACTGTACTCTCTCACTCTCTCATCTTCCACATTTGGGTATACGCAGCTCCAAAGCTCAGCCATGGCCGCCGAGGCCCGGTTCTGGTTTGCTGCTCTACTTCTTCTTGTGACATGTCTATCCGCCAAGGCCAAGCAGACTTACATTGTGCAGATGAACCACCATTCCAAGCCATCCTCCTACGCCACCCACCATGACTGGTACTCTGCCCACCTCCAGTCTCTCTCCTCCACCGAAGATTCTCTTCTCTACACCTACACCACCGCCTACCACGGCTTCGCCGCCTCCTTAGACTCCGAACAAGCCGAGTTGCTCCGCCAATCCGACTCGGTGCTCGGGGTGTACGAAGACACTCTCTACACTCTCCACACCACTCGGACCCCCGAGTTTCTGGGTCTCGAGATCGAATCGGGCCTCTGGGCCGGTCACTCGACCCAGGACCTCAACCAGGCCTCCAATGACGTCATCGTCGGAGTTCTCGACACCGGCGTCTGGCCCGAGTCCAAGAGCTTCGACGACGCCGGAATGCCGGAGATCCCTACCCGGTGGCGCGGCCAGTGCGAATCCGGCTCTGATTTCGCCCCGTCCCTCTGCAACAGGAAGCTGATCGGAGCTCGGTGCTTCTCAAAAGGCTTTCACATGGCCTCCGGCGGAAGCTTCATGAGAAAATCGAAGGAGGCCGAGTCGCCGCGAGATCGAGACGGCCATGGGACCCACACCAGCAGCACCGCCGCCGGGGTCCACGTGG